AAAAAAAAAAAAAACCCACCAAACAAATCTTGTGACGCATGGCGACGGGCATAAATAGAGCGTCGTAGTGAGACAACGGAAGACAGCATGGATTCACGGGCACATTCAGGGAAAGCCTTGAAGGAGGAGTAGGATATTCATAAGCAGGTCCAGGTTAATGAGGCTGTGCATTAACAGAGGCCGGGAGGGACAGCAGAGGCACACACACGTGTGGCGGGCTCAGAGAGAGGGGCCGCCCAGCAGCGGGGAGTCTGGGAGAGAACGTGCAGTGCAGGTCTCCAAAGAGTCTCCAAAGGCATGGACATGGAGGTGGGGGAGATGTGCGCCTACAGTCTCCCATTGCTCTGGTGTCATCTAGAGACGGTTTTAGGAATGGCAGAATGCAGGGCCCAGCAGGTCTCCTACCGGAGTCTTACTTCTCTCCACTGAGCCAGGGGGGCCAGCAGAGGTCTGAACTGAGGTCTGAGGTCACACTCCCCGCAGGTAACAGTAACAAGGTAGGAGAATGCTAATTCAGTACCTTAATGGCTGGGTCACGAGGAATCTGTAGAATATTCCTTAGCCCACAGGAAGCCAGGAAAGGTTTCTCTCAGAAGATGTGTGTGTTGGAAAGACAATTCTAAGAGTAGAGAGGAACAGAGGAGAGCAGAGCTCAGTGTGATTTGACGGCAGCCATCAGGGGACAGAGGACACAATAAGGCAGGAACACGGGGAAGAAGCAGGAGAGGCCCAGCAGCAGGGCGAGGCTTCAGCTGCAGCCCAGGGCACTAAGTCATTCCCCGAGGAGGGTGTGAAGGGCGAGGGGAGGGGAGAGACCAAGAGCACTCAGGTCTGGACAAGGAGGGAGGTGATGCTGTGGAGAGAGCACGCAAACGGGAGGGAGGGTAGAGGGATAGAAAGGGGAAGTGGGTCTGGCCCGGGCACACAGAGCATGGAGTACCCAGCAGGCAGCCGGGAAGAGGAGTGTGACACTGATCAGAAATCGAGGTTACAGAGGCATTCGTGTTTCCTAAAGAGCTGCTCATCAGGCAGAAGGCAAGACGAGAAGGCCAAGTGGGAAGCCCTACAGGCTGCCTCTGTCTAAGGCACAGGGGAATGGCTAGGAGCTGCCGGAGAGCCAGGGCAAGGACACAAAGACAGCGCTCAAGTGATGCGTGCCAACAACGCCCAGGACGAGGTGGTCGACGGGCATGAAGGCTCTCAAGAACCACCGTGCTGACGCTCACCAGTGGCTCACTGCGTGCAAGGCGCTAGGGTGCAGTCGGCCCCTTGGCCAACCCCCGCCACCCATTGTAACAGGTAGGTTTAGAGACGAGGAAACTAAAGAACAGAGGTTCGGGCAGACGAGCGCTGAAAGCCACCAGATGCGGCCAAGAGAGGTTCCCCCACGACTGTCACAGGATTAGCCTCAGTAAAATGTCGGGGACAGAGAAGTAGTGACGGGGTGTGGTGTAGACCGGAAACACAAGCCTGCACTTAGCTGACAGTGACTACTCCTTTGATAAATTTTGGTTTGAGCGAGACAGGAAGGCTCTTAAATACTTTCTGAAAACTGCATAAAAGCTCAAGGAAGAGATTCATGATACGAGAGGCCACTGAACAAGAACACTTTTAAGGAAATGAGGTGGCACCCTATAATCATGAGCCACACACGTGCTTCCCATGAGGATGTTCTGGCTACGCCGAGCGCCCCTGCACTGAGGCTGGGACAGAGCCAGAGCTGCTCCCCGGCTGGTTCACGTGGGTCTCATACCCACAGCTACAACAAACGACCAAGGGCGCTTCCTTCTTCCAGGTCGGGTCACTCAGACACTGTGGTCTCGGTGAACTCGCTCTGAGCTTATCAGGGCTCAGTAACAGAATTCAATGAGAACAGTCATGGAAAACTGTGAAATCTTCAGGTCTGAAAAATACCCTTCCATAGGAAATCAACAGTCAGCAACGGAAGCGCTAATGTCAAATGCTGTTTTTTCCTGACACATGAAAGATAAAAAATCAGACCTCACCTAGGACTGGCTGGCCTCTCCTGCCAGTAACTTCAAGATAAATCCCATTCTTCTTCTCCCTCTTCCCCAGTATGATGTGATCATGTTAAACTGATGTTACATTAGCCACGAGTTTGAATTTTGGAATATTATAGAAGAAGCAAAGTCATCTTTCTTTCTACACAGAGTAAAACCTGTTTGTGGGGCACCAGATCTCCTAAACCAAGCATGCATTTGCAGGTAGCCCATCAGCCGTCTACGTGTGTGTAGACATCTGGAGCCTAGCCCAGGCTTTGCCAATGATCCACTGTATACACCAGGTCCTGGCTCGCTGTGCATCACTTTCCTCATGGACAAGATAATATTTTTTTTTTTTTTAAAGATTTTATTTATTTATTCATGAGAGACAGAGAGAGAGAAAGAGGGAGAAGCAGAGGGAGAAGCAGGCTTCCCCACTGAGCAGGGAGCCCAATGCGGGACTCGATTCCAGGAGCCTGGGATCATGACCTGAGCCAAAGGCAGACGCTTAACCATCTGAGCCACCCAGGCGCCCATGGACAAGATAATATTTTAAGATGTTTTCCAGCTCTTTAAATAATTAGAGTTATGCCTGAGTTTACGTTTCTGAAATTAGGTAAAATTAGTTCTCTTCAGTGGCCTCCTTATTACCTTGTTCAAAATAATTTACTTAAAAGTTTTAAATTATTAAAATTCAAATTTGTTAAACTCTGAATTAATATTTTTAAAAAATTCTCAAACTGGAGGGGAAAAACCACCACCTGGGACAGACTACTTGGGGCATGACTGTGTGCGCTGAACTGTTGACTGTTTTCTCCACTGTGTTCGCAGAGGGGACCCTAAAACACACACACACACACACACACACACACACACACACACACACCGGAAACCCCAACTAACCCCAACTTTCAGAAAAGCTCTAGTAATGGGTAATCTGCCCAGTCCCTGTACTTATTCCTTTCTTCCACATTGTAAAATCTCTGACATCAGAATGCTTCCACCATCATGAGATAAGCATTGTGTCTCAGTATGACTGCTGGTGTCTCTCTCCTTCTTAGAGAACCACGTATCTTGTAACGGGTAACACTGTAGCTTCAGAACAATGGCCTCAAAGCATGGCAAGAAAACTTTATGGGAAAATAAAAGAGCAAGCACCACAAGGAGCCCAAAACCTGTACTACTTCAAATTATCTTGTGTACGGAAACCCCACGGTATTTCACCAGAGGCGGGATCTAGTTCCAAAAGTGTATCTACCTTCCCTCCAAATTTCTATCTAAAAACAAATGAACAAAACTGAAAAATAAGTTACAGACTGGGAAGAAATAAATGCGATACATTTAACAAGGAATCTGCTTCCTTTAGTAACAAACTAAAATATTCCTTCAAACCAATTTTAAAAAATTCTAACACAGCACAGACTGAGAAAGGGATTTGGGGTGATACACATAGTCAAGAAATATGGAAAGACGATCAACCTCCAGTGAAAACAGGGAAATGCAAAGAACAACAAGGTGAGATCTCCATCATCACCACCAGCCTGTCAACCATGAGAACACAGTGACAGTCGGGGTCGTGGAGGGACCTGGACACAGGGTGTCTCAGAGGATGGGGAAGTGCACACTGCAAACCCTTCAGAAGGCAGTTTGCCATTTCCCACAAAATATAAAGTGTATAACCCTTAACCATCACCTTAATTTTTAGTATTTATCCTAGAAAAATATGTATGCACCAAACAGGCCCACTTAGGAGATTCCCTACAGCTTCTTGTAAAGCAAAAAACAAAACAACTTAAACATTCATCAAAATGGGAACGCTTATGTGCAATATAATAAATCTGTCCTAAAGAATACCACGCAGCACAGGAGGAATTTGAGAAAGAAGACAGAGGATCATAGGGGAAGGGAGGAAAAAATGGAAGCAAGACGAAACCGGAGAGGGAGACAAACCATAAGAGACTCTTAATCTCAGGAAACAAACTGAGGGTTGCTGGAGTGAAGGGGGGTTGGGAGGGATGGGGCCGCTGGATGATGGACACTGGGGAGGGTGTGTGCTATGGTGAGCACTGTGAATTGTGCAAGACTGTTGAATCACAGACCTGTGCCTCTGAAACAAGTAACACATTATACGTTAATTAAAAAAAAAAAAAAAGAATACCACACAGCAGTTAAAAGGAAAATTTAAATGCATTAAAACAGCCACATTTCCAAGAAGGAACGTTAAGATACACAAAGCAAGTCACAGAACGATGTGAATGGTGCAATCGCAGCATTGTAAGAAGCAAAACAACGTTAGTGCTTACGTGTGTGTATAAACGCATTAAAATAACCGTAAGATATACTCCAAAAAATTAACAAGACAATCCTTTAGGAAAAGGATTTTTTACTCTCAGTGTTATTCTACCCGAACGTCTCATATTACTTACACTATTAAAAAACCCCACAATTTATTATCTGAAAATGAATTATTTTAAACTGACCATCCATGCAGGTGAGGAGCTGGGCTACAATTCTTCGTTCCATGTCTTTTGAAGCAACTTCTCTCTTGGGGGTAATAGCATCAATTTCATCGATAAAAAGGACACAGGGTGCGTTTGACTGGAAATAAAAATATCACAGAAGACAATCATAAAAACATTCCCCACACTGCAGCATAGTTTAGTCTGTATGTTTTAAAGAATCCTGGAGTCTGCGGGTCGTTCAGCAAACAAGCAGCATTCAAGAAGGCAGTTCCCGGCGTTATCACTTCTGCTTTCATCGGACTTAAGACGCTGCACAGAGGACGGTGAGAGACTGCACACAGGCTACCACACTTCGAGCCCTCTCATCCACCCGTGCTTTGCGGTGAGCAAGTCACTGAAATTCTTTCGTCAACGAGCCATCTCCTCGATGCTACGAGGTACGACCAGTGAGTGAGCACACACTCAGCCAGAGAACCAGCAGTGGCCATGAGGACCGCACTGAGGAAGGGAGGGAGGGGAGTGCCCGGTACTGCCGTGTGGACGATGAACACCTTCCCCGTGCATGTTCTTCAAGGCGCAGACTGGACAGAGTGGAGACAGGAGGTTTAGACAGAAGCACCAACTGCCAGGAGCAGAGCCACGGTGGCTGGGGGCTGGGGAGGGAAGGTGCAGGTCGGTGGCCCGAGAGCATGCATTCAGGCTGGGGAGATGCTGGGGGTGACGGTCACACAACGCATGAGCGTCTTACTACAATCACAGAACTGTACTCTTAAAGATGTTTAAAGTGGCAAGTTTAACATATTTTACCACAATAAAAACAAACAAAAAGAGAGGAGGATCAGTTAACACGAAAAATTTAAATAAAATATCGAGAGATGCAATCACCAGCACGCTCATTCCTAGTTCTTCAGTGACACTGATCAAGCTAAGGGTCAGACTCTCAACCCGGCTAAGGCGTCTCAACACCACGGGGACCACGGCAATTTATAGGGAAGATCTGGCCCGCCACTAGCCGGCTCGCTTCCCAATCCTCCCGGTGATGACTCGGGCACGGGAGCAGCGAGGACTGCTCCAGACAGCACCCAGGTATGTCACAGACAGCAAAGGTCTCGGGGGCGAACACAACAGTATCTACCCAGGACCGGAAAAACTCAGTGAGAAAAAGAGGAAGAAAGTAAGTGATGGTCATCAGAATTCAGCCGGAGGAAAGCCTACAGTTCTCAACAAACAACCACGTGATCCGCTTGGACCATTTGTTCTCTGACCCACACCCAAGCGTGCTCTGTTTCATCAAGTAACAGGGACCAGTAGAGAGGGGCAGACCCTGTGTTTACTGAGCATCTGCTGTCACCCGCGTTTTAACAGCAGGAATTACAGTTAGAATAAAATCGGATCTGTAATTTCTCTGGTAACAGGATTTTCTTTTCACTGGTTCAATTAGGCAAACAGCGAAGAGTTTATCCTGGCATTTCTATGGCTGCTCTTATAATGTGATAATCCTAAAGATGAACAATTTTCACACCACTTACAAGTCATTTGCTAAACTTAATTTGGGGAAAGTAAAAGTGAAAGGAAATACCACCAGGATAATCTATTTTCAACATATAACCAGTGGCTATAACAGCCCGAACTCCTTGCCAATTACAGTTCTGCCTGATTGCAGATTCAACAGATCAGTTTGGCCAACAGTCTGTACCGTGCATCTACTTTAAGTATTTAGCCATCACGAGCTCTCTGTCATAACCACGGGTGACCCGACGACCCGACGTGGGTCGGACTCACCACGGCCTGCTCAAACAGCTCCCTCAGCTTCTGCTCAGACTCCCCAGATACTCCGGACACAATCTCCGTGGCAGCTACCTTCAGAATCGGGAGGTCCAGTTCCTGGATAGAAATACGCGAAAAAACGACCACTTTGTCAGAATTTATCTTCCCTACCTGTTCCTCATTTATCCCTCTCTCAAAATTTTTGTTTTTTAAATATTTTTTTTTTTAAATTTTATTTATTTGACAGAGAGCACAAACAGGGGTAGTGGAAGGCAGGGGGAGAGGGAGAAGGAGACTGAGCAGGGAGCCCAATGCAGGGATTGATCCCAGGAGCCTGGGATCATGACCTGAGCCAAAGGCAGACACTCAACCGACTGACCACCCGGGGCAACCCTCAAAATTTCATTCTTTAAATGCCCAATTTTCTGAGAAACTTCATCTTTTTGTGTTGGTCTGATGAGAAACATTATTTAAGGATCTACAGTTTTAGGTCTTGATCCCAGGACCCTGAGATCATGACATGAGCTGAAGGCAGACGCGTCACCGACTGAGCCCTCCAGGCGCCCCGGCCACTTGTTTTTACTTTACTGAAGGCACTGTGCAACCCTGTTGTCAACTCTTCTGAGTAAAGCGTCTTGACTCTCCAGAGATAGGCTCCCCCTGCTTAGACTGAGCCAGAACAATTCCAGTTATTTCTTTGCTGGAAAGGATCAGAGGGGTCCTGACACAGTTGTGTCCCACTGGCCCGACTGGCACGTCTCACCAGGCCCCCAGGGAAGGAGCCTGGTACCCATCAGAAGACGGGCTCCCAAAGTGAAGGAGGGGCAAGTGCCGCTGCCACCCTCCCCCGGGGCGCCCCACCCCCGGCACACACGGAACCCAGCCTGCTCGTTCTGCTCCTACTCGTCCTGAAAATCACCGTGTCAGCCGCGGGCGTCCCACGGAGACACCGCCCGCGTGCTGCACCCCAAGTCCCCCACTTGTGACCGCCATGACTGCGGATGTTTGCTTGGGTGATGTCTGCCTCACGCGGCCTCTCCTACGAGACTGGGTTTGCTGCACTCATCACAGTTTCAATGTCTGCCATGCGGCGGTCACACAACCGTTTACTCAACAAAGGAACAAATGAGGCAAATCCATCAGTTCTCCTATAAGAACGAGCTCCCTGCACAGAGCACTAACCTATTCGTCACTGGTATAAAATGCTCTTCTTCAAACTGCAGTCACTTGGACGTTGTGCATTTTACCACCCAACACAGTTTCTTAAAAATCTGATGGGACAAAAATATAAGATGGCTACCTTTTCATTTTGCCACCTAAGTATGATCACCATTTTAGAAAGGCTATTTTCACACTAAAAAGTACAAGAACATGGGGCGCCTGGCTGACTCAGTCAGTCAGTGTGTGACTCTTGATCTCAGGGTTGTGAGTTTGAGCCCCATGCTGGGTGTAGAGATTATTTAAAAATTAAGAAAAAAAATCTAAAAAAAAAAGTATAAGAATATGACTCAAATAGAAATTTTGAGTAAATTTAGTTCTGGGGAAAAAAAATACAATCCTTAGTTTTCTCATTTACTGCTGCTGAGAACCACTGGCTTAAAGGGAAAGAGAAGTAACTGAAACAAACTGTGTGTTGCAAGAAGGGTGTTTAGGCCACATCACCTTGCTTCCCACCCAGCCCCTGCCGTCGAAATAACTGACTGCTTTGAAGCAAACAGCATCTCACGAATGGCAGCAGGATGGGGAGAAATGCAGAGGGGCCAGTCCTCCAGAGAACATGCCACGTCTGGTTCAAGCTGACTGAAGAGGAACAAGAACACACGGAACAAAAGCAACCAAAGCAAAGGCACGCGGGCAAACCTCACCCCGGCAACAGCGTGTGCCAGCAACGTCTTCCCGCAGCCTGGCGGCCCATGGAGGAGGACTCCGCGCGGCGGGGTGGCACCCAGGTGGTGGTACACCTCGGGGTGACGCATGTGGATGAGCATCTTGCACACCTCCTGGAGGGACCGGACAGGAAAGAAGTCTTTCTCGGCCCAAGAGGAGAAAGAATCCGCGTGGAAGGAAACAGTCTATTCTTTTGGCAAGTTTGAAGGCCGGTCTGAAGCCCAGGCCTGGTGTCTAATGGACTCCGGGAGGAACCTCTCCGCGCCCCCTCTCCCAGCTGTCATAACATCTACCTCACAGCCTTGCAGACGTGACGCATGGTTAACTGGAACAGAGCAGACGCTAAGTAAACAGTAACCGTCACTCACTTCTGCTAAAGCAGTATCACCCACAAAGCACCCAACTTCTGCACACCGTAATTCCAGTGGTAGAAAAGTGGAAGGTGCTACTCTTCCTTTACCCCTCAGCACCCTGAAGGTACAAGCCAGGGCTGCCCTTCTCCCCTCACCCAGACTCCTTTCCACTCCCAGTTCCTACCAGAAACGAAGCGGCAATAAGCTCATCCAAGTAAATTCTGCACTCAAACTAACCTTTAACGTCGTATCACTGCCTCCAACATCTTCAAACTTCACCTTGGAGAATTGTAACTCTAGCCCCTTGGCTTTAGCTGGTACACAAAAGAGGAGATGGAAACATTTAGTGATTCAATAGTAATTCAGAGTCCTACTGAATAATGTCTAAACCGAGGTCTATGGGTCACCGAAGGCTTTTCTTATAGACATTGCTGCACACGGTAGGTACCCCAAGCACAAGGGCTGGAACTGAGGATGCCGCTCCTGAAGCCCATCCCACCCCCACCCCCCGGCCCCCAGGACTCGCGGCTCACCTTTCAGCTGCAGGACAGCTTCTATTTCTCCATCTGCTTCCTGAAGGTCTTTCTTGCTTTTGCTTCCTTTGCTCTTCAGCCTGACTTTCCTTTTTTCACTACACTCCAGAACAGAAGCGTCTTTGGGATCCTGGAAAGAAAAGAAATTTCAACATGCCTTGCTTGACATCATAATACCAGTGATGCTTCCTTCAACACAGGCATGACTGAAAATAAAGCATTCCCAGCTGGGCACTGGCACCTATGCCCAACCTCCGTGCTCAGGCATGGTCTCTGCTGCGGATCAGCCTTCTTTTCTGGAGCTGAAAGCTCAGTTTCTATCCCGCACGTGAAAACTTCCTTTCCAGACTCTTCCAGTTATAATTAACCTCTTACTCACACTCCCAGAACACTGAATTTGCAAGTGCATCATAGCCTGCCACGATCCGCCTTGTATGTGAGCACTTCTGTGTCTTTCACGGAACTGTGAGCTTCTGGAGATGAAACACTAACGTTCATCTTGTACTTCTCACTAAGCCTTTCACCAGTAGGTCTTTATGTGATGTCTGATGAATCACTAAATTAAACAGGACCACAGAGCTGCTTTGAAAGCCATAAAAAAGTATGACTTAACGTTAAGAGTCAAGCTGTTTCCTTAGCCTTTGCAATAACGTTCTCTAAAAACAGATGATTAGGGCGCCTGAGTGGCTTAGTTGTCAAGCGTCTGCCTTCGGCTCAGGTCGTGATCCCGGGATCCTGGGATCGAGTCCCACAACGGGATCCCTGCTTGGCAGGGAGCCTGCTTCTCCCTCTCCCACTCCCCCTGCTTGTGTTCCCTCTCTTGCTGTGTCTCTCTCTGTTCAAAAATAAGTAAAATCTTTAAGAAAAAATAAGTAAATAAAAACAGATTATTAATGTAGAGATTTGGAAAAGGCCCATTAATAATTCAAAAAGAGAAAGGTTTAGCCAAGTCAAGTCTTAGTTCTTGGAAACCACTTACAGTGGTGTTGTCCAAGAGAAACACAATGCCACCTACATCATTTTAAATATGTTCTACTAGCCACCACATTTAAAAAAGGGAAAAAGCAACCAGTGAAATTAACTTAGTATTTAACCAAACATATTCAGAACATGATCATTTCAACATATAATCAGTATAAAAAATTGAGAGATCTTATATTGCTTTTTAATAGCAAGTCTTCAAAGACCACATACTTTATGTACTTTATGCCTATAGCACATCTCAACTCAGGCACTAAATTTTTTTTTTTTAAGATTTTTATATTTATTTTTTTTGTCAGAGAGTGCACACAAGCAGGGGGAGCAGCGGGGGGAGTGGCAGAGGGAGAAGCAGACTACCCGCTGAGCAGGGAGCCGGACAAAGGACTCGATCCCAGGACTCCGGGATTGTGACCTGAACGACTGAGCCACCCAGGCACCCCTCAGACACTAAATTTTAATGGGAAATACTTAATTTGTATCTAGTTTTCATAAAATTTACAGCTGAGGGCGCCTGGGTGGCTCAGATGGTTGAGCGTCTGCCTTTGGCTCGGGTCATGATCCCAGGGTCGTGGGATCGAGTCCCGCATCGGGCTCCTTGCTCCTTGGGAGCCTGCTTCTCCCTCTGCTTCTCTCTCTCTCCCTCTCTCTCTCTCCGTCTCTCATGAATAAATAAATAAAATTAAAAAAAAAAAAAAAAAATTTACAGCTGAAAGAGTAGATTCACATATTCAAGTTGTTCCAAACATACTCAAGTTTTATAATAACTGAACTGACCATTATTTTATAAATTTAAATTAAAGATTCAGTCCCGGGGCACCTGGGTGGCTCAGTCGGTTAAGCGTCTGCCTTCGGTGCAGGTCATGATCCCAAGGTCCTAGGATCGAGTCCCACATTGGGATCCCTGCTCAGCGGGGAGCCTGCTTCTCCCTCTCCCTCGCTGCTTGTGCTCTCTCTAATAAATGGATAAAATCTTTGGAAAAATAAAAATAAAAAAATTCAGTCCCTCATTTACACTAACCACATTTTTAATATTCAAGAGCCACACATGGCTAGCACTTACCACGCTGGACAGTGAGCCCCAGGGGCGTCCTCAGAGACTATCGTGGGACAGATTACTGTGAATCCTCTCATTCTGTCGGGCGTTAAAAACTAGTTAAGGTTGGTGCCCAGTGTGTTCACTTTGTGGTAATTCATCCAGCTTTACTTTTATGTATGGTACAGTTCAACTTAGGTTAAAAAAAAGGGTGTCTACTAATTCTGTACATTTTTGTGGTGTACTCATTTGTGCAGGCCCCCTCAAAGCATTACCCTAAGCCCAAAATGAGCCATACGCTGGTTCAGCGCTAACTTCCCTTCCTCCAACAATGACCAACCTTCTGTAACACATACCCAAGGTACCTGTTCTTAAACTTGCACTGGTAAGTGCACCTTGGAAGGCTCATCAGGCACTAATTCAACAAACTGACAACTACATGTCAGATGCATTTTATTATTTTTAAGATTTTATTTATTTTAGAGAAAGAGAGAAAGCACACACATGCATGCATGAGTGGGGGCAGAGGGAGAGAATCTCAAGCAGGCTCCACGCCCAGTGCAGAGCCCTATGCTGGGCTCGATCCCAGGACCCTGAGATCATGACCCAAGCCAAAGTCAAGATTCAGACTTTCAACCGACTGAGCCACCCAGATGCCCCGTTAGCTGCATATTAGCCAGGGAGACATTATTAAACAAACCAAAGGTCCTGTTCCCCTGAAGCTGACGTTCTAGTGGAGAAAGTCAAAGAAAAAACCCAACTAAACAATTACACAGCAAGTTCTAAGTGGTCCTAACTGCCTGACAAAAAGGAGATGAAGCAAATGGTATCCAATGACGTGGTATTTCACACATCAGGAAAGGACGCTGCCAAGATTCCAGGGAAATGAGATGTGAGTCACAGGAATCTGGCGACAGTTCCAGACAGAAGCACAAGTGCACAGGCCCAGGTGAGCGTGCGTGGCATGTTCTAGAAACAACTCAAGGCCATGGCAGCCGAGGAGATGACTGAGGAGACAGCAGGGCAGCTGCGTGCACACGGCTTTGATATTAGACTGAACAAAGCCATTTCTAATACGTGAATGAGAACAATCTGACTTGTAAAAACAACATCTATGGGGCGCCTGGGTGGTTCAATCTGTGAAGCATCTGCCTTCGGCTCAGGTCATGATCCCGGGGGCCTGGGATCCAGTCCCGCATCAGACTCCCTGCTCAGGGGGGAGTCTGCTTCTCCCTCTCCCTCTGTGCTCTCCCTCTCTCTAATAAACCAAATCTTAAAAAACAAACAAACAAACCAAAAAACGACATCTGTGTGTGGAGAATAAAGTGAGGGGAGATTATTTCAGTAGTTAAGGCTTGGACTTGGATAGAAACAGTGGCAGTAACAGGACCTGCCCATGTTCTCTGTGTGCTTCCAAATCCCCACGCCCTTCATGAAACACAAGAGTCTGCTCATGCTACATTCAGGAAAAGGGGGTAATGTCCTCCAAGTACTTAGGGCTAAATTCTACAACAAAAATACCTCTATCTCAGATCCTGGCTTCTTGTGATTACTCTTCTCATCTGTCACGTCCATCTTTCCACCAGTCCTGTCGATAAACCACCCTCCCTCAGAACCTCTGGCCGGGGTCTTCAAGGGGATGGAGCCTGTTCCGGAAGGTGTCCACGGGGTCGAGCCAGTGGTTTCTCTGGGCTCCATCTCGGGAGTCCTTGAAATGGATTCAGGATGTCCTTTCCGATATAAGGAGAGCAGGGAGCTGTTCATGTGATTTGCTGCCTGGCAGAAACACGACATCAGCATGAATTCCTCACAGGTCCCTGTGGAAAGCTGGTTACCAGTACATTGGCACTTCCCACAGCTTCTCTCACAGCATTTCAGCCGGAAAACACCAGGGTCCACAATAAGACGCTTCATTAAACATTTACTGTTCATAAACAATGTCCCCCCTTCACCTTAAGTTAATGCACCAATTCATACATGGAAATTAAATAAAACCAAGTAAGTAAGCTCGCTTTTAAAAAGTACAACAGAACAGGTATAAAAATGAGCTGGTTGTCAAGGAGAGTCACTACTAGCCCATCAAGTCAATACTGTATCAGAATAACCCGTTATCATCCTGACTTTGTTAATAAATTAAAAAACTGAATTACACCGTTGGGGAAAAAATAGAGTAAGTTACAAATCATCTAGCAGGGGCACCTGGGTGGCTCAGTTGGTTAAGCGAGTGCTTTGGGCTCAGGTCATGATCCCGGAGTCCTGGGATCGGGTCCCGCATCGGGCTCCCTGCTCAGTGGGGAGTCTGCTTCTCCCTCTGACCCTCCCCCCTCTCGTGCTCTCTCTCTCATCCTCTCTCACAAATAAATAAAATCTTTAAAAGAAAAATCATCTAGTATATTATTTCTACATTTCCCTTTAATCGAAACCTACTTCTTGGCAATGCCAGCCCTTTGTTAGAAAATGTATCCTTTTCTCAATTTTTATTGTTAATTCCCCTTTCTCTTCCCCCCATGTGCCCTTATTTCTGGCCACTCTCTTCCCTTTTTTCCCTATGAAATAGGCTATAAACACAAATACTGAAAAGATAGCCATCCGGAGATTTCTTCAACACTATACACAGGAAGTATTTAATTACTTATTGATGGAGATGTTCAAAGTCTCTGATTCTATTCCACACTGACTTTTTTAAGGAGGGTTCATAATAATTAAAAAAAAAAATCAAAGTTGGTCTATTAAATGTCTGGCTTACCTGTGTATCTGGGTAGTCTTCCATATTTGAATCATCTTCTGAATAGCTTTCAGTAAACCTCAGTAAGAAGAGGGAAAGAAACATTTTAAAGGCTTTTCTCCCACATCCTAAAAAATTACTATCCTAAACAAAAAATATACTAAGGCAAAATATTATGGTGGTTAAAGGTCCAGGCTCTGGAGTTAAGAGAAATCTGGATTCAAAATACAACACTGCTGGTTTCTAAGCTTCTACTTAATCTCTGTGAGGATCAGCTTCCCTATCTATAAAGAGTAAGAATAAATAATGTCCACCTTACTGGGTTATTAGAGGATTCAAGAGAAGCTCACCAAATCCTCAGAGTACATAATAAATGATTAATAAACTGTGGTTATCTTAATGCTAGCAATAAATAAAAGTGAAATGCAAATTCCTGTCAGACCCAAGGGTCTCATTAGGAATATCAGATGCCCAAAAAAAGGAAATATTCCAGCAGGCCATAATTAAGTAACCGTGTAACAAATTCACAAATTCCACATGACCCAGCCACGTGACCAGGTAGTTTTCCCAAGTCTGTCCATGAGAAATGAAGGTACAAAGAGGTTTTCATATCATACAGTGAGGAACAGGCATAAATCCTAATAACTACAAACTGAGAATGCAGTCTCAGTTCATCATAACCCACAGTTGATACTGAATAGCTTCAAGTAACTATAGGACCCTGCTACTATTTAATAAAATGTCTTTAGAAAATAATTAAATAAGAAAAGGACTCTTCCTAAGTAAAAAGGTTTACATGAATGCTATGACCCACCTTTATAATTAAGACATGAATTCTTTTGTTATTCATTAAATTCCATTAATATAAGTTTGGGCATTTTTTTTTAAGATTTTTATTTATTTATTTAACAGAAATAGAGAGAGAGCACAAGTAAGCAGAGCGGCAGGCAGAGGGAGAGGGAGCAGGCTCTCCGCTGAGCAGGGAGCCCAAAACAGGGCTCGATCCCAGGACCCTGGGATCATGACCTAAGCTGAAGGCAGCCGCTTAACTGAATGAGCCACGCAGGCGCCCCAGTTTGGGCATTTCTAATCAATGTGAAGAAGGTAGATTATTCAACTATTTGGGGAAAAACCCATTCTGCCCTCTGAGTCACACCCTACAAAGTTAATTACACATGGATTAAAGAGTTAAAGGTAATGCTATAAACAAACAAAGAAAAAGTATAGGCAATTTTCCCATATACTCCCGGTGATAGGTCTTTCTAAGCACATCCACATCAACCATAAAGGGAAAGACTGACAGATCTGACTAGGTACAAATGCAGAACTTCTCTAATCAAAAGACACTTTAAGGGGCGCCTGGGTGGCTCAGTCGTTAAGCATCTGCCTTCAGCTCAGGTCATGATCCCAGGATCCTGGGATCGAGCCCCGCTTCAGGCTCCCTGCTCAGCGGGAAGCCTGCTTCTCCCTCTGCCACTCCCCCTGCTTTTGTCCCCTCCCTCGCTGTGTCCCTCTCTCTCAAAAAAAAAAGACACTTTAAACAAAACTAAAAGGCAAATGGCAAAATGGAACAGTCTATAATACATATAAAAGGAGATGCTATTTTATACAAAGAAATCTGACAACAAATATGGAAAATTCAAATACCTCTCAAAGAAAAGACAAAACCCATAAGCAAGCAACTAACCGAGGAAACATGAAACAGTCAAATATTTAAACTCACTAGTTATCAAAAAACTACAAATAAAAACATATTAAGGGGCGCCTGGGTGGCTCAGTTGGTTAAGCGACTGCCTTGCGCTCAGGTCATGATCCTGGAATCCCAGAATCGAGTCCCGCATCGGGCTCCCTGCTCAGCAGGGAGTCTGCTTCTCCCTCTGACCCTCCTCCCTCTCATGTTCTATCATTCTCTCTCTCAATAACTAAATAAAAATCTTTAAAAAAAATCAATTTTTGCCCATGAAACCGGCAAAGATTAAAGAATAGTACTACTAGGACCTCAAGGGTGCAGAGAAATGAACTCTTTATACAAAGCTGCTGGGAGTATGAACCCAGGCAACTTTGTTTGGAGGACAACTCCAAATGTACCAGAAATCTCAAAAATAGTATCTTTAACCCCAGAAACACCACTTCAGGAACTTAACATTAAAAAAAACAAAGAAATGTATATAAACATACATGTGTGCTAAAGGATTATTTACTGCACATACGATAGAGCAAAACTGGAAACAACCAAATGTTCACGAATACACAACTAGTTAAGAAAATGATGGTAAATCCAAATGAAAAGGCAGCAAAGTGAAAAGGAGCTACCAACACAGATCCTATAGACATTAAAAGGAAAATGAGAGGATATCTTGAAAACTTTATGCCAACAAATTCCACACCTTAGCTGAAATGGACACGTTCCTTTAAAAGTACAATTTAACAATACCAATAAAAGAAGAAAAAGAAAATAGGAAAGTCCTAGATCTAGCAAAATTGACGGTTATCCAAATCCTCTCCAAAAAGAAGCCTCTGAGCCCAGATGAAT